ATTTAATTTAGTAGCCTTCTATTTTTCTCTGAAGACCATCATAAAATTTTGCTTCCAAAAAAATCATGAAACTTTGAAAATTAGGGAATAGATTTCATGAACTCAGACCAGAAAAAATTGAAACATTTTTTATATTTGGTTGATTATTTTAAAGATGAAGGAGATAAAAACAATAAAGTCAGAGAATACTGAATGTGGACTCTATAGAATGGAAAAGACATCAATGTAGAAGAATTGAGAAAAAAATTAGTAGAGGGAAGTTCAAGAAGAAAACAGAAGATATTTCATAATCATAAAAAATCTCCCCCAAGATACTTATTAATTACCTAGAGGAAAATATAGTTTACCAGTACTGAAAACCCGGCAGGCACCATTTTAACCAGGTGATCAGAGCCAACATCAGCATTAATGAGACAGGTCACCATCGTGTACCCCCTAATATGATGCACTTGAAAGGGCCCAACATCATTCTGTGCAAGTCTTACCCACAATGCATAATTTCAGTCTAACCATGAAAAGACATTGCACTAATCCAAATTAAAGAACTTCCTACAAAACAAGCAATCAGTACTCCAAAAGTGCCATAAGAGATAAGGACAAACTGCCAGAGAGACTGGAGGTTTGGGAGGCAAAACTAAATACAATGTGGGATCCCAAATTCAATTCTACAACAGAAAAATTCTAATGCTAGCAGAAAAGCTGATGAAATCAGGTCATAAAGACTATATAGTTAACTGTACTGCACCAATGTTTTCAGTTTTGATTAATGGAACTAGGGTTATGCACAATGTTAACATCAGGGGAAACTGGGTGAAGGTTACCTGAAACACTCTGAAGTACTTTTGCAAGTTTTCCAGAAGTCTAATATTATCTCAAAAAGTTAAGAAAGTATTACTTTTATTCTCATGAACATGATTCTACATCACCCTAATTCCCTGAATTTTTGTGGATACATTAAGGATTAATGATCAGGGAGAACTGAGCAGGTTAAAAATGGACAGAGCAACTGGCCAAATGTTTAGCCAAATGACATGATCAAAGGAAATGTGCCAGATGTTTTCCAACAGCTCCACATATGGAGGCATCTATGCTCAATAGGGGCCCCACTGTAAAAAGAATCCAGAGACACCAATTCTCGTTTTAACCATAACATTAAAAATGACCCATAAATACCTTATCCTCTCATAAGAATTCTATTTCTATAACTTTTTCTGAATCCTCTAAAAAAGTATTTTAAAAAAAGGATCTGCCCCATATTTTAGTGTACCTGTGTATATGTTCAGAAGCTCACACAGACCTGTGTAAGTCCTTAACTGAATGAGAGCTGCACCTTGAAATAAATCTTTTTAATTTCCATCCAAGAAGAATATGGCATTAAGAGTTGCTAAATTTAGTTTTTTCCATAAAATAAAATATTTATTTTCTAATCATCATTAATTCCATTTTAATCAAATCATTCCCATTACTAAGAATAGTTAATGATATTACAAAACAATATCCCCTTTACAAAAGTTTTAACATTGCTATAGGATTAAAATTCCTAGGATAACCTTGGTAAGCTTCTTATTTGTTTTTGAGGAAGAGCTGGTTCTCTTCCTCTTCTATTTTTGTTCTGTCTTGGGAAGTTTATGGTTTAACGAAATAAACACCAGAAATACTCATGGCCATTTTTCACTATACACTCACCAAAAAATATTATATATATTTCTTATATATAGCTTAGAAAATCTTTGAAAAACAAGATACCTAGGCTTTATCTTCAGCTACCTTTCATTCTTTAAGCAAAATTATTTTGTATATATGTCAATATTTTCCACTCTGGATTCTGATTAAGGGTCTAGAAGCTCAGCCTCTTTAAAAATTACATGATTGTAAAGACAGTCCCAACCACTTAACAGAACTGAAAATTTACAGTCTTCATTCTCTTTTATCCTTTACAAAATAGAATGTAAAGACAGAATGTTTGTGAAATAAGGAATTACCTTCTCTCCTCCCAACAAATACTTAGTACTTGAGTTTTTTTCCTCCATTAATACCTTTTGGGGATAGGTACCAAAAATGTTTTACTCTCCTCTTTATATCAACAACACCTGTAATTAAAAGGATAGCAGTAATGATACATCTAACAATTATTGGATGTTTCATTGATATTGGACACTATTCTAAGCAGCTGAAGCAAGTTGCCCAAGACCACATGGTAATAAATAGTGTAGGTGATGTGTGGGGTCTGGGAGCCTGATCCCAAGCTTGAGTCACTGGCAAGTACACTTTATCCTGGCTACTTATTTTAATAAAATAAAACGGGCAGTCCCTAAAGAAACTGGTGGCCACCCAGCTTCAATGTTGAAGAGTTGGAGGGGGAGGCATGTAATGGAGCAGCCATTACTCAGCTTCAACCAGTGCTGGCAGGCAGCAGCAGAGGCCTGAGTTGCTGGATCCTTTATTCTTTTATTATTATTTCTTTTACTGAGAAGCTGGCAGTCCAGATTGATATCTGAAGCTTCTTGCTTTCAAAATGTTGCTACTTATTCTAAGCTTTTTCTAAAAATCCTATTTGTCTGAAAGGTAAAGGGCCACGTTCTCAAGGCAGGGACTCTGTCTTATTTATCTTTGTATCCCTAATACGTAATGTGTGGCTGGCACATAGTAGGTACAAACATACTGACTTCTGCTGTTAAAAATCCTGCCATTTCATCTTGGTCATTTTATGACCTTGGTAGGAATTCATTAGTTTATTCAACAAGCATTTACTGAGCTACCACGACATGCCAGACACTGCTCTAGGCACTTGGGATTACAACAGTGAACAAAAGAGAATGATGAAGAGAAAGATACAGAGGAGACTGAGATTATATTTTAGTGGGAAAACTGGGCTCAAAAAACCAAAAGCACATCAAGTCAGATGGCGTGGAGGCTTGAAAAATAAGAAGAGATGGGTTTGCTTTGAACTGAAACTTTGCTACTCAGACCTAAAGAACAATGATACAAAAGTCCATGCTTCCTAGTGCCATACTGGTCACTCGTCCACAAATATGTTACACATACATAAGCAATTTTAAGGAAAGGGTATTCTTGAAAGAGAGAGTGCTTTCTTCATAAGTAGAACAATACGATCTTGCTCCTTGGCTTGAAAGGAAGTATTGATCAGTAGTTAGTGAGTCAAAGGTTAATAACTGGGTCCTGATTATTTCTGTTATCAGACTCATGATTGATGGTGTCCTCTGGCTCCTTAAGTACAGGAACCTCTTTTTGATTGTTGTTACTGGGAACCAAGGAATTAAGCTATTCTCTCATGATTTAGTTACAGAGGACAGGGTCAACTATCTCCTGCATCAGAGAGTTGAGGGACAAAGGTTCCTATAGAGAGGGTGTACACGGTCACCAAAATGCAAACTTGGAGCAGCATAAATCTGATTGACAGCCATATGATAAAACACTAACTATGACACACAACTCTTGCTCTCATGCATTATCATTCCACAAGACCACATGCTGAGTTAATGGAACTTCTCCTCCAGTTTGCTTTGGAAACGGATGTAGTTTCCGAAGGCCCAAATGGCACAATCTAGCTATTACTCCTAGACAGCTGCTGGGAGTTAGAGACAGGACAGCTATACCAGGACCATCTAAAAATGCACAAACCAGGCCCCTGCTTCTCATGAACTCACTTATATCTATTTAGTTACTCATAATCTGAATAATTATAGTCAGGGATTATGTTTAGAAAAGAAAGCACCCTAAAGACAAATGCAAGTTTATATCTTCAAGCAGCCTTTAAAACAATGTGCTACTAAAGCTGGAAGAAAAATGTTACTTTCTCACTGTCTTTATATAAAATAAGATTTCACTCAACCTGCTCTTTTTGGAAGAAACAATATTGTCTTTGTTAGCCGAGCCTAACATAGATCTCATGCCAATGTAGTTTGTTCTTCTCATGGATACTAGCCAAAAGGATATTCCTTGAAATAAAATCACAATCTGTTGAAAGCCTCACAAATCAATTAGATTAGGAGAAAGAAGTAATCATTATCACATAACTGAAGATAAAAGTATGAGAAAAAGTGAACAAAAATAAACTTGATGCAAAAAAGCAAATCAACTCTCAAACCTCCCACTTGTTAAAAAAAACAACAACCATCATTCATCTGTGGATCCATAGTAGATAAACAGCTACATTTTAAGCAAGCAAAACTTCCCCTAAATATGAGTCATATATCAAACCATCTCACTTATTATTGTCTGTCCAGGGAAATTTCCTAAGAGTCTAACATTTTTGTTTAGTTAATGTAAGTCACATTGGCTTTGCAGCAAACAGATGAACACTGATACAGAGTAATTTAACATAGATCCCTGCTATATTAAATCTAAAATACACATAGTGAGATGGTTATAGACCTCTTTTCACCCAAAAAAATAAATTATAGTAGCATTTACAACATTGAGTCAACATTAGCAATAAGATAATGATACCAATGTATTTATACAGTTGAATGGTTTTTAAAATCTAGAAATAAAATTTTTAAAAGTCTACTCAGATTTACTTTTTAGAGTATCTATCCAGCTATATTTTAGCTCAGATGGCATGCAGTTACTAAAGAAACTTTCAATAGTATTTGAGAATTTAGGATAATGTATTTTGATTTTTTTCTTTTCTGCTTGTCTCATTTCCAGTGATTTTTTTTTTAATTCTCCAATATGTCAATGGGTGAATTTGGCAGAAATGAGGCATATGCCTATTTATCATCAAGTTGTATCAAGAACACAGCTCGACAGCTAACCTCTGCTAGCCAAGGACTTTAGCCACGGCCGGCTGAGACTTCGTGCACTTCCCACTTACAATCAAGGATAATACAAAGAGCAGTAGACTCACTCATCCTGTCCACCAAAACTTGAAACAAAAATCAAGTGATGGTGCTCTTATGCCCTGGAAGAAAACACTGCTGGGAGATGAAAGCGCAAGCCCGGGAAACCTCTGCTCCCTTTGGAGCCGCTCTGGGTACCTGCTGCCCGGGTGGCTGGCGGTGGCCCTGGGCGCGCAGCGTGGCTCGGAGCTGGGCGGCTGGGAGCGAGCGTACGAGTGGTAGGCGGTCAGCACCACGCCGCCCGAGTCTTCCACTTCCATCCTCAGCCGCGCATGTCCCCGCTCCGGCCCGAGAACAAAGGCGGGGACCAGCATGGACCAGCGCACCGGGACTCGGTCACCAGCGGGGCGGTGTGGCCCGCCAGTCCAGCTCCTAGGGGCTCGCTCTGACGGCTGTCAGGGGCGCCCCGGGAAGCCAGCCCCGCCCGCGGGGCAGCCCTATTAGCAGGGACTTAAAGACACGCCCACAAGTCCCGCTGGGGGTGGGGGGTGGGGGGTGGGGGCGGGGAGAACGGGGGGGGGGGGAATGCGGAGGGGGGAAACCGGGGAAAGGGGGGACCGCGGAAGGGGGGAGGGGGGAATCCCTGTTTTTAGGAAACTGGAAACCCGCTGTGATCCTTCAGGGCTCAGGCTCGCTGCTTTAGCAGTTTTTCTTGCTTTGTTTCTTTTTCTTTTCCTTTTCCTTTTCTCATCTCCCCCCCACCCCAAATGGGGGAGGCTTATCCCATAGCTAGGAACATTTCCTGCCTGGCAGCAAGAAACGAGAGAAAGAAACCTTGCCTTGGGAGCCTGGACTGAGAAGGGGAGGGGCCAGGTCTACGACGTGTGGTCCGGGGAAGAAAGGAAGAAAATGTGACACTCTCTCATTTAAAGCATCCACTTCAAAAATTGAAGAACCGGATTACATTGCTGTGTACTTGGTCAAGTTACAAGAAACTTGACTTCCTTTTGGGCAGGTAACTCCCTCTTACAGCAAGCAGAAAACCTCCCTCCCTAACCCTCAAGGCCACTACAGCAACCAGACTCTTACCTCACCCCACATCCCTTTCCTCCTCCCAATCCTGATCAAATTAAGATAGTGCTTTCAGCTTGTCTGAAAATTAGACTTGATTATTCTGGGTCCAATGCATGTTTTTTCGAGGTCTTTATTTAGAGGGAAAATGTGTGGCAGGGAGGCAGGTAAAAAGGGACATAATCAGAAATGATTTTCAATGATTTGGGGTCTGAAATATGTCTTTACCTGTATCAAGCTAACAACACAAATGGAAAGACAACATTCTTTTAACCATTTAAAAAGGGAACCAGAAGTATATTAGAGAGGCCCACAATGACTTCATCTTTCACACCCAGAGAGGGTGTTTTACCTGTCTCTCACACTCCCCTGGAAGCTAGGTGAAAGGGAAAAGAGAAATTAGTTTACCCCTTACTGAGGGATGACCCAGGTCATGCTACTTAACATCTCAGAATCTGTTTCTGCATCTGTGAAATGGGGAAAACAATATTCTTCTCATGGGGTTAAAAGCACCACACACATGCTAGGTTCTCAAGAAATGTTGGTCCTCTCTGCTACTTCCTTCACATTTTCAAGAAGAGAGACATTTATTTTCACTGCATTTTCCAAGGTTGGGAAAGAAAAAAAATATCCAAAATGCTTCTTAGGAAATATTTTGTTGATTAAAGGGGTTGGAATAAGAATGACTAACATTTATTAAAATACCCTTTATGTCTTGGATCCTGTTCATTAGCTCTACTAAACAACTCTATGAGGTAGGTCCTATTAGTATCCCAATTTTGTGAATTAAAAATTTATCAAACATCAGTATATGAAAAAAGGCACATACAAAGAATGCTTCATTCTTCAAAAACTTCAGGTACAAAGACGTATCTGTTTACCTACTGTGTTTTATACTAAATGCATCAAAAGAGAATATTTTCTTAAAATGTGAAATAAATTCATAATGTAATTATTGATACACATCCACAACACCTTATCTAAAACTTTAGGTCCAGGGGCGCCTGGGTGGTGTAGTTGGTTGAGCAACCAACTCTTGGTTTCTGCTCAGGCTCAGGTCCTGAACTAGGGGGTCATGGGATCGAGCCCCATGTTGGGCTCCATGCTCAGTGGGGAGTCTGCTTGAAATTCTCTCTGCCTCTCCTGCTCATGCTCTCTCTCTAAAATAAATAAAATCTTTAAAAATAAATAAATAAAACTTTGGGGCAAGATATGTTTCAGAATTTATAATCTTTTTTTTTTATTCTTAAAAGGTAATTTGGTATAAGCACCATTTAATATAGAATACTCTCCTTCCAGTAGTTTGGGACAGCACCCTTTATTCAAACTTATTATTTCCTATGCAGAAACAATTGACCCTAAACAGGATAAATAATTTATTCAGATCAGGTTTGTCACCAAATAAGTTTTGACACTAAACTTTTTTAAACATGTAATTTTTACAGCTTTGTGTATTTTGGAATTACCATAAGGAATTACAGTCGTTAAACTTTTTCTGGGCATGGAATTTATCTCGTTAGCATTTTTTTTTCCTGAGCTATAGATTCAGAATTTTAAATACTTGCAGGGCATCTTCTTGTGAATATTTTTAGCCATAACTCTGCATCAAGATGTCCAAAACTACAGTGGTACTCCCTCATGCCAGCTTCAGCAGCCAGGCCCCCTCTCTTGTACAGTCACATTTTAGATGCCCTGGAGTCACTGTGGTTTCTCCCTCTGATCACTTATACCACAATCCATCATCTCTTTCTCAAAATGTCCACCAACTGTTCCTTCTGTTCCCCATGCTGCGGTCTTTGTTCTCACATCACCATCTCTTGCCTAGGTGATGGCCATCCTTCTTTGACATAGCTGACTTTCAACCACCTTCCTCTTAAATCCTCCCCTCTTCAAAGAGCTGGTAGAATGATTCTCCTAAAACACAGTTCCTCCTCTTCTCAAAAGCCCTGTTGTAACCCACTTGCTACAAAATAAAGTCCAAATTCCTTAGGATAGGTGCTCATTAATCTACTTTGATCACCTACTGCTTTTTTACTCCTGAGACCCTGTGGCCCTCTCACACCAGCCTGTCCTGCCTTCTTCCTTTACCTCTGCTCCTGTCATTTTTCTGTCTAGAAATCCTTAAAAACCCTCTACCTCCCCCATGAAGCCTTCTCAGGTGTTCCTAATTCAAAGCCCCCCCTCTTGCTTCTGTTATAAGAATTATGTCACTCTGCCACGCAGTTAAAGCACAGTAAGCCAAACCTGTGTGCCATGTACACGCTCCACTACTGTGCCCATCGTACCCACAGCTAATAGATCATAGTGGTTTTTTCCACTGAGCTCACATGTTGTCAAGAAACCCTTCTCAAAACAGAGCCTCCAACAGCAAGGCAGCTTTGAGATGAAACTATCAGCTAACCCAGGACTGTATTATTATTTTCCAACAAATTAGTGTCTTTTACTAAACTGCAAGCTACTAGAAGGGCTAGTGTCATATTTTTGTCTTTATACTCCAGAGCCCACAGTGTTTTTGCAGAGTAGGCAATCAATAAGGAATATCTGTAAAATCAATGAACATATGAATCAATGAATGAAGGAGATAGCACTCTTTTGTTCAGTAGTTCCAATCTTTCAGGGTAGCCTAGGAATTATTATAAATGATTCATAAGTCTGTACAGCACTGTAAACGATAACTGCAAACTAAAGAAAAAAACGTTTCACATGTATATATTAATATTTTTTGAATGTAGGCATATGCTGTTGACTTAATAAAATACAACTGTAAGCATTCGTGAGTTTTGGGGTTTCAGAAAGATGGTAGAGTGCATATATTGGATACTACAGAATATGCTGTGCAGGGCATTTCCCTTTTGCCCTCCAGATCCCCTTGCCACCCCCATTAATGCGTGGGGCCCCAATGACTCACCTTCTGGTCTGCATCTCTGAGCTCCCTTGCCTCTGGTGTCAGGAGGGGTGCTACCAAAGAAAGCTGCCAGCAGGACATCTACAGGGAAGGGGACAAGCCAGCTTGGGTATATATTTCCCAAGACTTCTCCTGTCGATTTGCTACCAGCTGGCTCCTTCTACCTGCTAAGGCCTTAGCTCCTGATGGCAGCCCCCTCCCTCCCACGCTGCTCTCTCTGGATTCCAGTAATGCTTTCTCTACCTAGCCCTTTAAACCTAGGAGTATTCACAAGTCCTGGTGTACCAAGTAATCCCTCCTTTGTCCCTCCTGCACCATCCCTGTTCATCCCTCAACCCACCCACAGCCTTACAGACAATCCCTTTACTAAGGTCTCCTCATCTACTTGTTCTGAGTGCCCCCATCTCTTCCTGCCAAGACCCTGACTGATAGGCATCCTCACTGAGATCTGGGGCAGTATCCTATAAGCAAAAACATTAGTATGTCTGCAGTAAACTGTAAAAATACACATACCAGGAGGGATAAATACAAACGATAAATAGCCTCCTGTCAGTTCAGGTGATTTATCACTAGATAAGCTCAGGTCTGAACAAGTTTTACAGTCATATGATTCATGAAAAAGCTTTCAGATTAGAGAGCTTTGGGGATTTGGGAATTATAGATATGGGATTATGGACCTGGTAGAGTCTGTTAACATTTTTGGCATTCTGGTAACCTCTGGGCTAGGGGTTCACAGTACAAGACTGTGACAGCTGGCTCAGCAGCAGAGTAACCAGGGACCCTGGGAAAGATTCTCCATCTGGGAATTGGGTTGATAAACTGCTCCTAGAGTGGACAGCATACATTCAGAGCACAGAAATAGCACTGGCATTTGGAGTAATAAAGCAATGGTAGAGGGAAAATTCGTTTCCTATGCATACTGCCCTGGATGTCACTGCAGCACCCAGCACTGAACCGAGAACAGGACACCTGGGTGTCAGCACCAACTCTGCCAACAGAACGCAGGACCCGAGCAAATGGCTGAATTGCAGACCTGTTTCTTCACACATAGATGAAATAAAACATTTATTCACTGAGTACTTACCATGTACCTGGTTCTATTCTAGGCATCAGAACCTCAATTCATGGAATGCTCACAGCAGCTTTTTGAGATAAGTATTACTGTTAGCATCTTCATTTTACAGTTGAAGAAAATGACTGCATTAACTTGTCCAAAGTCACCCTGGCTAGGACATGGCAAAGCTGGGATTCAAACCCAAGGAGTCTGTCTGGCTTCCTGCATCCAAACTCTTAAGCATTATATTTCTTCCTTTTTTTCTTTTTTAAAGACTTATTTATTTGAGAGAAAGACAGTATGCAAGAACATGTGCGTACAGGAGCAGGGGGAAGAGCAGAGGGAGAGTGAGAGAATTTCAAGAAGACTCCCTGAGT